TGTGAATTTGATAATTTTCCCATTTCTAAACACCAGTTTAATGCGTTACATACCAAAGTATCTATTTTGGGCGAGAACGATTGATAAAACTCCACTGTTAGGCCGTCTGACCCAGGTGCTTCATTGGTTTTCATATTTCGTATTGCATTTTCACATTCATGGATGGTTAATTCTCCTTCACAACATTGTTGTTCAGGAATAGTTAGTTTAGATGATTTTGTTAATTTAAATATTCATGAATTTCAGTTTTACTAATTTTTTCAGAGGCATATAAGTTCTTAAAATGTTGTACTTCTTCGGACAGAATGTCTTTAGTTTTTACAGCGTATGTTCCATCAGACCTTATGATTTTTTTAATTTCTTTTTTTTTTTACCATTATTGTTTTCTAGTCCTAGGAAGTATTTTGAATTTGTTTCCCCTTCTTCTACCCATTTCGTTCGGGATCGGATTTGAGCACCCTTGGCCTCAAACGCATATATATTTTCTAGTTCTTTTGTTTTCATTTTAATCCCTAAGTCTATTTTTTCATCACCGTGTTTCTCAATCAGCTTATCGTTTAGTTTTTTTTTATATTTTTTTGTAGATTTTCTTTTTTACAATTTTTATTTTTTATATTTTCTTTACCAAAGTGTATTGCATACTCTTTGACTTTTGTTTTAATTATTTCCCACTTATCTATTGGATTAAGACATTTTATTTTTTGTTCAAAATCATCAATGATTTTATTAATGTTACTAGTAAAAGTGATATCATTTAGGTAGCTTGAGTTGAATTTCCATAACCCAGGGCCTCTTTTTTCTCCATCAAGTCCATCAAGTTTAATTGAAACACCTTGATGATCGGTAAAAATGGCAGGTCTAATGTCGCAAGAGATAATATTATTCCTCTCATATAAGGTTTTTGATACAAACCAGTAATCAAACCTCTTAAATAAATTTGATGATTTTCTGCGCCATGTAAATTGAATTTTATCTTGGTTATAAAATCTCCAACAATCAATTAGCTTTAGATTTTTCATAAGGCCTTTTACAGTGAACACTGAATTATCTATTTTTGTTTTGCTACCCTTTTGATCGTACAGATTATCCTGAATACAATTCATGTCTCCTCCAACAATAATATAGTGCGTGTCCTTCATGGTTTATTAGGCCTATACATCTACTGTTCGGAAAAATTGGTAAAGAAAACATTTGGCAATTACTTACACCAATGTGATTAACCTTACAAAACATATTCCTTATTGTACACCAGAACAGTCATACACTAATTTAAACTATCAAAATAAGGTATGTTTGGCAATTAGGAGAGTTAAATTTTCATGTTGACCCTTTTTATAAATTAAATTTATTATCCCTCTTCGTTGTGAATTTGATAATGTTCCCATTTCTAAACACCAGTTTAATGAGTTACATACCAAAGTATCTATTTTGGGCCAGAACGATTGATAAAACTCTACTGTTAGGCCGTCTGACCCAGGTGCTTTATTGGTTTTCATATTTCGTATTGCATTTTCACATTCATGGACGGTTAATTCTCCTTCACAACATTGTTGTTCAGGAATAGTTAGTTTAGATGATTTTGTTAAATTTAAATATTCATGAATTTCAGTCTTACTAATTTTTTCAGAGGCATATAAGTTCTTAAAATGTTGTACTTCTTCGGACAGAATGTCTTTAGTTTTTACAGCGTATGTTCCATCAGACCTTATGATTTTTTTAATTTCTTTTTTTTTACCATTATTGTTTTCTAGTCCTAGGAAGTATTTTGAATTTGTTTCCCCTTCTTCTACCCATTTCGTTCGGGATCGGATTTGAGCACCTTTGGCCTCAAACGCATATATATTTTCTAGTTCTTTTGTTTTCATTTTAATCTCTAAGTCTATTTTTTCATCACCGTGTTTCTCAATCAGCTTATCGTTTAGTTTTTTTATATCTTTTTGTAGATTTTCTTTTTTACAATTTTTATTTTTTATATTTTCTTTACCAAAGCGTATTGCATACTCTTTGACTTTTGTTTTAATTATTTCCCACTTATCTATTGGATTAAGACATTTTATTTTTTGTTCACAATCATCAATGATTTTATTAATGTTACTAGTAAAAGTGATATCATTTAGGTAGCTTGAGTTGAATTTCCATAACCCAGGGCCTCTTTTTTCTCCAAGTCCATCAAGTTTAATTGAAACACCTTGATGATCGGTAAAAATGGCATGTCTAATGTCGCAAGAGATAATATTATTCCTCTCATATAAGGTTTTTGATACAAATCAGTAATCAAACCTCTTAAATAAATGTGATGATTTTCTGCGCCATGTAAATTGAATTTTATCTTGGTTATAAAATCTCCAACAATCAATTAGCTTTAGATTTTTCATAAGGCCTTTTACAGTGAACACTGAATTATCTATTTTTGTTTTGCTACCCTTTTGATCGTACAGATTATCCTGAATACAATTCATGTCTCCTCCAACAATAATATATTGCGTGTCCTTCATGGTTTATTAGGCCTATACATCTACTGTTCGGAAAAATTGGTAAAGAAAACATTTGGCAATTACTTACACCAATGTGATTAACCTTACAAAACATATTCCTTATTGTACACCAGAACAGTCATACACTAATTTAAACTATCAAAATAAGGTACGTTTGGATGAAATTATTAACTCATGATGTATTTTTGCTTTATTAGAATTTTTGCTGTAATAAAAGCGAGCGTAAGTAGATAAATATTTTAGTTTATCTAAGTGTTGTTGATGAAATCTGTGTAATGTAGGCCTATATGAAAGCCGAATAAATCAAAACAAAAAATCAAATCAAAATTTATAAATTTATTGCTCACAAAAATATTTCATTACTTTGGTGGTTCGATTATCTGAAATTTTAATTGTTTATA